AAGTTGTCCCCACCTCAAACTTGTGCTGCCCTGATAGACCCAAGGGAGCCCTACAAACTGACATCAGGAACCTGGACTGGTGAGTTTTCTTTCCCACGGAAAAGGGCCAAAGGATGTGCCCAGGCTCCGGGAGGGTTTGGGAGGATTTGGGAGGCTTCGGGAGCGTTTGGGAGGATTTGGGATGCTCCAGGTGGCTCCGGGCGGCTCCAGAAGGGTTTGGGATGGTCTGGGAGGGTTTGGGAGGCTCCGGGAGGGTTTGGGAGGTTCCTCCATCTTGTTCCCTTTGGACCCCTAATCTAGAACCCTAAAATTTTACTTTTGCACACTTAATTATTACTTATATCAAGCCTTCAGAGTTTGTAACTACAGTGAAACATGGAGGGCATGAAGAAGAAAAAGGACAAAACACATCCAATTTCCTCAATCTTGTCCCCTTTGAACCCCTTATCTAGAATACTAAAATTTTACTTTTGCACCTGTGCCATGCTTAATTATCACTTCTATCAAACCCTCAGAGCTGGTAATTCATGCTGTGAGATTGAAAACTCTTTTCCATGGACAGAGATCACAACCAGTGTCTCTGGGGGCTCTGTCCAAGGGGGTTCCTGAGCCCTGCCAGGGTGCCAGGGCAGCCAGGGACTTTCTGTGCCCTCCCAGGTGAGCAGGGCACAGGAAAAGGTTTCCAAAATTCATTGCTAGCACCGAGCTTGCGGAACATCACTTTTCTGCCCAAACCCGGCCGGCAGAAAGGCAGGGATGGGTTTTGGGATGGCGCGGGGGGAGAATCGGGGGGGGGCTGAGATTGGGGGGGCTGAAAGAACAACCCTGAAAGTGGCAGAACGGGAAGCGGCGCTTCCGCCGCCCAGGGCCCCGCGGGCTCCGCGGGAGGGAAGTGCCCGGCCCCAGCCGTGGGAACGGCGCCGCCGGCGAGGTCCCAGTGCCGGGCACGGGGCAGCGGGGACAGCGGGGACGTGCCAGTGCAGGGCTCCCGTGGGCACCGTGCCCTGCTCTGTGCCCTGCTCCATGCCCTGCTCCATGCCCACCGTGCCCTGCTCCGTGTCCTGCTCCGTGCCCTGCTCTGTGGCCACTGTGCCCTGCTCCATGCCCTGCTCCATGCCCACCGTGCCCTGCTCTGTGCCTTTCTCCGTGCCCACTGTGCCCTGCTCCATTCCCTGTTCCATGCCCTGCTCCGAGTCCACTGTGCCCTGCTCTGTGCCCACCATTCCCTGCTCCGTTCCCTGCTCCGTGCCCTGCTCCATGCCCTGCTCCATGCCCAGCGTGCCCTGCTCCGTGCCTTCCTCTGTGCCCACTGTGCCCTGCCCCGTGCGCTGCTCCATGCCCACCGTGCCCTGCTCCATGCCCTGCTCCGTGCCCACCGCACCCTGCTCCGTGCCCTGTTCCATTCCCTGTTCTGTGCCCACCGTGTCCTGCTCCATGCCCTGCTCTGAGCCAAACGTGCCCTGATCCAAGCCCACTGTGCCCTGCTCCGTGCCCACCATGCCCACCATGCCCTGCTCCGTGCCCTGTTCCATGCCCACCGTGCCTTTCTCCGTGCCCTGTTCCATGCCCACCATGCCTCCAGGTGCTGACCATCAGGACTCCAGGTGTTCACCATCAGGACTCCAGGTGTTGATCGTTGGGACTCCAGGTGCTGACCATCAGGTGCTGATCATCTTGGGTAAACGACCCAAGATGGATCTCATGGAAATGCTCAGACAGATCCATGTGAATGCAGCATTCCCGTAAATCTCACCAGGGATTCACCTACTCCGGACACTGAATTATTCCTCCTCATCACCAAAAAAAAAGAAAATCTTATTAATAAGCTATGGACTCTGAATCGAAGAAAAGACTGCTTGCTGAAATCTTGGCCTCAGGCGGAATTTTCCCTATAAAAACCGAATTTTCCCTATAAAAACCACTTGTGCCAGGATGGAGGTGTGTGGGCATGGGGGAAAACCTCTGCTGAGGCTGACTCCGTGTTGCACACCCAGGGTCAATCCCCGGGCTTGGCTCTGTCTTTTTCCATGGCTGGCTAGATAGAATTTGACCACTAATAAAATAATTTTTTATTTTTAATCTGTCTGAATCAAATCTCATTCATAACACCACGAAAGCCGGGAAATCGGGTGGGAAAGCGCTGGGGGGGAAGGACGGGGAGGGAGCAACAGTCCAGGGAGGGCGAGCAGGATGGAGCTGGGGCCCGGTGAGCGGGAGGAAGGGAGGCCGGTGGTGGCTGTGTGCTCAGCAATAGGAAATGCTTTATTAGCTGGGAGTGGTGGAGACAAGCCAGGCAGGAAGAGGCAGTAATAAGAAACATTTTTTTTTTTGGACTTCTCCCACATCCAGAGAGTAGAGCAGCTGCCGAGCGGCCGTGTTGGAGCCCCTCAGCAGGGGAAGGGTGACAATCCCTCCCCCAGCGGGACAGGCGCGGCCGTGGGAGCCCCAGGGTGGCAGGATGGGTGCTGGGAGTGGAGCAGATCCATGAAAATCCTCCAAGTTGGGGCTGAGGAGCAAAACTTCCCCGGCTGAGGTGGATCCAGGAGCGGGAGAGCCCCGCCAGGGCCGGGAGGTGCCGTGGGATCCTGCAGGACCTGGATGCTGGAGGTGAGCGGGGAAGAGCTTCGTGCTCCTGGGGTCTGGGGGTGCACCCAGCTC